CAGTGGCATATAAATTTCGTTTGTCACAAATGAACTCGGTTTTTCATTGTCCGGGATTCTAATCAAAAGCTTTGATCTTAAATCATCTATATATTTCAAATTTAGTTGATACAATTCATCACGGCGACATGCACCGACAACACCAAATATTAAGTAACCTGAAAAGGAAAAACTAATATATTTTTAATTTGTACATTCCGAGAAATGTGACAACACAGTAAAAAGAAAAATTCATATATTCCTCATTTTAACATAGATATTGGACTTTCCCGCACTAGTGAGACACGCTGTATATGATAAAAATAATTGAAAGTGGTAAACATGAAAAAAATTTCGATTTTTTTTGAAAAAGTTAAGAAAAAATTGAAAAGATCGTTTTGAATAATTTTTTTGTATTTTTTTTCAAAAACTACATCCAAAAACAAAGAAAATGAAAAAAAAAGTTGTTATTTGTTCCATTTTTGGAGGAACAGTGGGCTTTAAAAAAAGACATGCAACGCAAAATTTTCAAAATGGTGTTATGTGAAATACCTAAGCTAAAAAATAGAAAACGAAAAACCACCACTGAAAAAATTTGAGGATTTATAACAAATGTCAGCTTTTTATAAAAATAAAATTTCAAAAATGGTAATCGAGAAATTTTCGTTTTTTAAAACAACAGTGAAGATAGGTCCAGATAATTTTGATCTATTTTTTTTCAAAAAGTACATTTAAAAACAAAAATTTTGTAAAAAAAACGTCCCGACAACTCAATTTTTGAAAAAGTTATGGTTATTTAAAAAAAAAGCAATTTTTTTTCAAAAATTCATAACTTTTTTGAATTATGGGAAAAAAATTTAAAAAATTCTCAGAGGTTTTCAATGGGGTAGAAATCAATAAAAAAGTTTCAGTCAAATCGAAAGGGGTCAGAGTTAAAACTCTGCTGACCAGTGTAATTTTAATTAGCATTTAGCTTTTTTAATATACGCCCTAAGTATTAATTTAATTTTTTAAATGCTGGTAAGCAGATTTTTTAAAATCTATACTTAGAAATCAGAAAAAGGACCTCTAAATTATTATATCCCAAAAACAGATAAATATTTGTATGCCATGACGAGCTATAAGCGTATGCCCCGGCGAGCATTGAATTACACCATCAATATCATTAAATACAGCTGGGATTATTCATCGGCCAAATGACCAGACATATATCGGTTTCGGACTTATTAGTCCTCATCAGTATGTCGTAGGTGCGAGATTAATTAACTCCAGGAAAGGAGTAAGTACAGAAAAAGATGTAATAAACATAAACAGTTAAATCTAGTGGCCAATGCTACTAGCTAGGTACCTGAAACTTACTAAGGGCCGGTTTTTCAATCGTTGGTTAACTCCTAACTTAAGGTTAGCCATCACTTTATTTTCTTCTATTTTAGTGGAGAAGCAATAATTTTCTTTTAACATGCAAGCTTTTAACAAAGAATGAATGTATAAATTCGTATTTAATTTTTTTTTCTTTACTAATCTATGACATCTCCAATACAAAAAGTGACGAGGGCTAACAACCCCGAAACCGATATATGCCTATGATTCTGCTGGTATAATTAAATGCTAGCCTGAGCACATGGCCCGTAGAGCAGTTATTTCTGACAATATCATATGGCGACACTAATCATGCTTTCATGGTACATGAAATATATGTCGCTTTCTGTCATTTTTTGACCTTTGTAGGTTTCAGGTAGTTAAAATACTTCGCGCAGCAGACCAATTGGAAACCAACATTCTTCGGTTACAGATTACTCAGTTGTTTACACTAAAGTGGTAATTATTGCTGCAGGATGTATCAGCGAAATGACATGAATGTATAGAAAGGACCAAATTCGATTCTTAACATTGGAAATTGCAGATAAAGGGAGTACTGTTATCAACGTGCAAAGTCGCATTCCTAATGTGTTAATTAAACCTATTTGAACTGTGAAATATTCATTTAGACGAATCCAGATGGAATTTTGTTTTGTACCACAGAAATGTACGTCGCTGTTCACCTACGCATTATTATTTATAAAAAAGAAAATACAACCTTACTTTCAAGTAGGATAATGTATAGCCGGTATTTATCTTCCTAAAAATCGCTATAAAAAAACTGTAATTTTACACCGGCGCTACAACACCACTGGGATTAAACTGATATCCTGCCATAATAATTACATAGCGGCGAAGGGTAGAATTTTCTAGCTAGCGCCGCCTTCGAATCCTATGTTGAATTCTGCGGCAAACATGATTTGATTTGAAACACTACGGATTTATTATTTATTATTGTATACTAAAATAAACAAATTAATTCATTAATTAAAGCCCATTGTAAAAATTACATAATACGATATAAAATTACAATAATTCAAATGGATGCCAGTAGTTATTTACAGCACCAAATTTGCTCAAAAACTTTTTCCAGGATTTTCTTGTAAGTCATTTGAAATTCAAACCCAATTTTCACGAAAAATAATGGATATAAAAGTAACAGAATAAATAGACGTTTTCAACTGAAACTGTTAGTATGATCTTGATAACAATTTTGAAATTTAATACATTGTTAATAATTCAAATTTGATGACACAGACATTCTGGAGACCAATATTTAATCAGTTGTTAGGTGAAAACTAAGGTCACCATCTAAGAACCGCGCACTAATTACATTAGAAAGTTACACAAAATTGAAAATTGCCATGGATACGAGTTATTTTTGGCCTCTGCAAATAAAGTTCCAATCATAGAAACGGTATGTTTGTCTGTTTTTTTTGCCCACTTTTACTCCATTTTAAACAGGTGAGTAGATAGAGTAATGGGGATAGAGAAGTCACCCATTTGCAAGCAAGGTAAAGCCCATGAACAAACGAACTTCCTATCACGCCACCCGCATCCTTAACCCCCCTCCCCTCCCCAAATCGATTATAATTAGCCCAGAACAGGGGTTAAACGCATATATTCCACCCGTCACATCTGCTTATAGATAAAGCCCACGAACATATTGTCACGCCATCCGCATCCCAATACCTCCCCCTCCCTCCCAATGACCAAGATCCAACCCCAAAAGTAACCCACACGCGTCTCTGATCTGTTCCATCGACCGGTTCTCCACCATCCCCGTAGCTGAGGACTTTATTGGCGCGTTTGAGCGATTGGAGAGGATCGAGGTAGCGTGACATTATGTTTGTGGGGTCTATCATCCTCAGAAACAATCGGTGGAACAGATCAGAGACGCCTATAACCCCTTTTGGGTTTAGTTCTTGGCCATTGGGTTTTATCTCTCTTGAAAATGGGTAATGGTGGCGTGACAGTCTGTTCATAGCCTTTACCTTCCTTGCAAATGGGTGACTCGTGTCTGAAATGTTACTAAAAAAAATAATTAAAAGTTACCAGCAACAGACAAACAAACCATCTGCCGGGGTTTTTATGATCTCAACTTTATTTCAGAGACTAAAAGTAACTCGTATCCACAGCAATTTTCAATGTTGATCAAGACCACTTTTTAATGCAATTAGTGGCCCTTCGTCATTCAAAATCCAACAAATTTTGGTTGAAACATATTTTGTCGAATTATTAAGGGAAAAATAAGTTTACATGCAGAAACATACAGCAAATCTAAGGTCACTAGCAGATTATACCAGCACATATCTTATAACTTTTTCAGAAACTTTTTTTGAAAAGTCTCAATCCTGAAAAGGGGGCATCCATGAATTTATATAACTGCTTATGTCCGGGATATATTCCATTAATGTGGTCCATAAATGATAAACGTATCATCAACATATCTAAACCAACATTTTGGCTTAAGAATTACTGACCCATTAACCTTGTTCTCGATGGGTTCCCTGTAGAAGTTTGGCAGGTGAACAAATAACTGCTCCTCCAAGTCTCCTAAATTATCCTTCAACAGGGTCCTTGGGTCCTTCAAAACGTCTTATATTAGTTCTTTTACTTCTTTTGTAGACAACGACGTCATTCCAAACAAAACGTTTAAAGAAGAAACACTACAAAATAAGCAATGTTTGTTGTTTTTCTTCATATACAGGGTGTTATTTAAGTATGTGGCCAAACTTCACGGGGTGATTCTGTGAGTGATTTTAAGACAAAAAGTTTATATGAACAAGTTCAGTTGCTTCGTTTTCAAGATACAGGGTATGAGACTTTTTTAAAAAATCGTTTTCTCCTAAAAATCTTAATAATCCTTTAAATGCTACTTATAATAGAAAAGGGCTAATTCAGCCCTAACTTAATTAAAAATATTGTTTAATCCAGTGGCGTCCCGAGGAGAACACCTTAACTAATATTTTTGTAAAAAAAATGTACGCCACTAACTTTTTAAAAACTTTTCGCAATAAGCAACTAAAAATACAACTTTTTTGTGTCTTGAATTTTTTTCGTATCTTGCCTCCTTTTTGGGAAAAAAATTAAAAATCACTTTATTGCATGTCCCTGAGACAACATAATAAAAAATTAAACTATCAAAAACTTGGGCGTACCTGTAATTTTTTAGAAATTGTTATAAAAATTAATATAATAAAACAAATAAAACAAATTTTTGTGTTTTATTAATTATTAAAAAACGTTTTTTTATAAAAGCTTTTCGTCTTAGAATCAGTCACTGAAGTTTGGCCACGTACTTAATTAAGACCCTGTATATACAATTTTTATTTTTGAATTTATATCTGTATTTTGTAAAATCTCTGTTCTACGTGAAATCTAAAATTCACTTGGCTTAGGCGACAATAAACGAAAATATATAAATTTTCCAGCAATTTATAATTCAACGCGCGTCTCCAATTAACAGCCAAATAACCACCCGACGATGACATCCGCGTTAAGAGTAGCACCCACTTTATATTTTCGTAGAAACGCGCGTACGTAGTAAACACTTCAACTTTGATTTTTGTGAAACCAGACCCACCCAAATAACACTAACACCTGTAATTCCCACGATATATACCCACGCGGCTTCTAATACGTGCCTTTACGCTTTCCAGGATCCACGCCAAACGTGAACTCCGTGGGTGAAGTGGAGAAATGCCACGCTAATGAGAAACCGGCGACCTACGGCGAAATGCTCGTGGAGAAAATTCACGGATTGGGGGAGAAGCTCTTAGGGCATCACAGGTCCGACAGCGATTGTTCCACGAGAGGGAAAACAGGTGAATATTATCATAATACCTATTTCTTTAGATATAAGAATCGATACCTAAATAATGAAAACTCCATTTCGTAACGCATATTTTATTTTCTATTTATCTTATTTTTATTTTTACAAAATAAGATACCCAACTAATAAATAACATTATCCTTTGACAGAACGACATAAATTAAATCTAACACAAATTGCTGAAGTAAATGTAAACAATAAACATACATTTTATAGCATACACAACAAAAAAATTATATATAATATTGAAGACAGTTTTTTAAAAACAGTTTATTGTTATTGCACCAAAATATCATGTTCATAAATCTTTACATCGTCAGCGACAGCAACGAAGATATTTTCGAATAATGAAAGCAATTTTTCTATATCACTTTAAAGAACTAAACAGAGAAGATCCAATTAATATCCCTGAAGAACTTGTGTAGTTACACAAATTAAATCTCATTTGAAATGATTTAAAGTCACATATTGATATCCACCAGATAAATAATTAGAAATCAGTTTTAAGTTTTAAGAGATTGTCACAATACGAATAGTGAACCTTGTCGGACACCCTAGAAAAGTTGGTATACAGGGTGATTCAGGTTTAATCTCCATAACTTCAGGAATCGATAGAACAGGTTAAAATACGAGTAATGTTCATTCTTGATATAATTTATTTCCTAAATTGCACCGTTTCGGCGTTAAAGTAGGAATTTTTTTCCCGTTTTTCCCTCATAACTTTTGAACCACTCATCCGATTGAAGTGAAATTCGGAGCACAAGCACTCCTTGTGATCTTACAAGCTCCTTAAATTTGAACCACCTACCCCTCTTAAAAGTGTATTTTGTGTACTACCCCCCTCTTACATTATTTCAAAACTTTAAAAAAATTAATTAATTTCAATAAAAGAGCTGGACACCACCTTTTCCTTATTGTTTTTGAAATTTTTTCGTCTTTGTTTTTTTTTTCGATATTTGGCCTTGTTTCTGAGATATTCAATGAAATTCGTGACAGTGTAGCGCTCGAGGCAGCGACCCAGCCGCATAAATTTCATTTAACGATATAGCAACCCATGAAAAACAAAACTCACAGTGATTTGTATAAACTGACGTTTGTGAAAATCATCGTTAAAAGTATTATTAAGTTCAAAAGTTATGAGGGAAAAACGGGAAAAAAAAATTCCTACTTCAACGCCCTATATGTCCAAAACAGTGCGATTTAATAAATAAGTTTATATCATGAATGAACATTATTTTAATCTGTTCTATCGATTCCTGAAGTTATCCAGATTAAACCTGAATCACCCTGTAATAAGGGGTATCCAAAAATTAATGCAACAAAATTTGGACACAGATTCTTTATACAATATACAAAAGTTACGTATTTTTTCCCGCAGAATACGAATCTGCAATAAAAAATGTAGGGTTCCATTTAAAAATTCAACGTTAACGTTAACCTTGAAATGACCTTGATAATTGACTTCAAGAACAAATTCAAGGTCACCATAATTTGAACCCCAAGAAACCTGATACCTTTTGTTCGAAATATTTTTTTATAAAAGTCGAATTAAAAAAATTATGCGGTCTGGTACATTAAAATGGGACACCTTGTATCATTCGAAAGGTAATAAAAATACAAAGAAGCAAAATGTACAGAAAGCTCCATTAGAAATAACAAACTTTAGTAGCATTTCTCAAAATGGTATAAAATATAAAAATATAGTACGCCACTGTGTTCTGCGAAAAAAACGTATAGAAAACAGTAAACATTTTTGTTACAACAATGGAGATACTATGGACATTAGAAATCAGCCCAAGTTTTAAATATCCTCTATACAGGGTGTGTCATTTAACACTCCCTCTGCCAATATCTCCAAAATGAAGAAATTTATTTTAGTTCCGCAAACTGGGGTTGTTAAGTCCCTCGAATAGCTTCAAATTGTAGTTAGAACTGTTAGTACAAATCTTTCTGTATAGATGGCGTGGCTATACTAAAAAAATTTTTTATCCCTAGAACGTGGAAATGCAGTCCATCTGAATTTTGAGTAATTTTTGTAGTATAAAGTTTTTCCCAATAGTTACTTGTTTTCGATACATGTGGACTTCGATATGCAACAGGAAAATCTATTATTATATTTAAATCACACAGAAACAAAATATTCTTTTAAAATATTGTTATAATGGCTTTAATCACACCACATACTAACAAACTAACAGAAAAATAATGTACAATGGCAAATCTTATAAGGGGCAGAGACGAACCGTATTTTATCAAATGCTATTAAAAAATGCAGTCATAGGTGGCTCATGTCAATAAAACATGTATGACAGATGACACATATTAGTTTTCCAATAATTACAGTTTTATCAGCTTTTGGCTTGTTCAGTTTAACTATACTAGTTATAAGATACCATTGTACAATGTTTTTTCTGTAGTTGATCATTTGTTTTTTTTATAATTTATTGTTTGTTAGTTTGTATGTGGTGTGAATAAAGTCATTATATCAATATTTTAAAAGAATATGTCTCGGTGTGATTTAGATAAAATAATATATTTTCCTGTTGTACGCGGGAGCGCAAATGGCTCCATCTGTGGTGCAGACTCCCAACTGTGCCATTCAAATGGCTTTTTAGTAACGCTACGCAGTACGCCATCTATACCGAAAAATTTGAATTAACGCACAGTGGGAAATATTGGACAAAATTCTCGCCACTCGCCAATTTTCATCGTCTCGTCGTGATTTTTTTTTAATAATCTCGTGGTAATCTGAATTTTCATATTCCGGTGAGGTTTTTTCGAAAAACCCTTTTTTTAATGCTTAGGGAGCGCCCCAACCTCAATGTCGAAGAAAAATTTTTTAAATACTCGATGTTCAGTTGTAGAAAAAAACTGTTTAAAAAGTATCTGCTATTAATAAAATTGATTATTATGACCCTTGATGATATATCTGATGTTTTTTCGTCAAAAACCTAACCTCAAAATTATTAATTCTAATCTAAAAGCCTTAAACGAAATTTACATTGGAAAAAAAGTTTTTTTACATGCCAAAAGTACGAAATAGATTCAATAGAACATTAACTAAGTTTAAACTCACTAAATTAAGGATTAATAAAAAAAATGAAAAATATCTTTATTGTACAGATTCGATCAACAATTTTTCCGAGAGCACACACCTTGTGCCATACTGTACCCAAATCTGACACCTTAACCCAAGAACCTAACCTCAAAACTGGAAAGATTGTCAAATCAAATCATTAGAGTCAAAAAAAAATTGTCACAAAATTATTTTCTTTAATAAAAAGTGTAAATGTATTTTTGTTGAGTGTTCATCATCGCGATCGCCAACACCTTTAGTCAAAACTGAAAACATAACTTAAAGACCCTGAAATTTTGTTTAACTCGAATTTTTTTACTAGAAAAATTCCATAAAAACATCTACATAGCAATAAAACGTTTGTAAAGCATTATTGTGGCTTATTATTACTAACCATTTATTAAATTTGCAATGAAGCCTGATAGACTAACCTAACCTCAAATTCAGGCCTTTGAGTCCAATATTCCTAAAGCCTAGACCAAGGGTCGGCAACTAGCGGACCGCGGTCCAGGTCCGTACCGCGGAAGGTAAAATACTGGACCGCCAAAAATTTGTTTAAAGTATAAATTGCTCAAATAAATTATTTAAAAAATATTTTTTTAAAGTGCCAATCATTTTTTCTAGTATTTTACAATTGTGTGTGTTTTGAGTTCTTAATGGTTAGTAAGCAGATTAAATTTGAGTCCAAATTAAAATAAAAAATAAGAAATGTGAATTTTTTTTCTGGACCTCGTTAAAAATTTTCAAAAGTATCCGGACCCCACCTAAAATTACTTGCCGACCCCTGGCCTAGACCCTCAAATCCTTTACTCCCAAGCCATAGACTACAGTATATTTCCCACTGTGTAACGGTTCTAACTACAATTTTAAGCTATTCGAGGGGCCTAACAACCCCAGTATCCGGAACTAAAATAATTTTCTTAAGTTCGGAGATATGGGCAAAGGGAGTGTTAAATGGCACACCCTATACTTATATTGAAAATCCAATCAGCCAAGCCAAGCCAAGCTTGAAAAAAAGCACGAGACACCTATACTAGTTTTTTTTCTATCTGAAGTGTTTAACTTATCTTATAATTCAATTGCACCTAAAGTAGACCTATAATTACGTTTGTGACAATCAAAATACTGTAATTTAAAAAATACGAATTTTTGAGTTATTACTTTCTGAAATATCCTTGTATATCTATTTACAAATACAACGCACTGATATTATCCAAATATCGTTCAAAAAAATGGTATGCACTTTAATTGTGTTGTTACAATTACAGTAGGTACCACATAAAAAATGCATTTCAGAGGTGAATAGATCGTCCGATAGCCAAGGAATAATATATGGTCGAAACTGTTTAAATTTGAACAAAACATGTAATTTCTTTCCACCGAATTTCTATTTTAAAGGTGTTTTTATATCGAGTACTGATGTTGATGTAACCATTAACTCATTATTCTTATAAATTTCACACAACACCTGAAAAAGTGTTCAGTATATAATATTTTGTGCGAACTTCGTCAGTTGGTTTGCACTACAGTATAGTTTACAAAGTTAAGACAGAAGTGGTTAAGGTAAACGATGTGTTTCGATGTTCTGATACTACTGTGTCAAAATATAATACGTGGTCCAGTATTTAAAAAAAAACTAGGAGTTGGAAAATTATGTTCAATAACTTTTTAAATAATCTACTACCGCTTACACACTGTGTCGATTTCAGATAAACACCGCTGAGTAATGATGACAAGGGTTTGGAAGTCCTTTCAAACTGAAATGCAGTGAAAGTTGTTTTGAAACTTTTCTCCCAGACAATTTAGATTTAAATATTTAAAATAGACATTCTGGAGAAGTTTTACTTTCGGATGCGTAAAAAACGATGTTTTGGGAAATGAGGGAAAACCACACGCAACCGAGAAATATTGTTGAGCAAATGTCAAATTTAGTTTAGTTAATATTTTTATTCCTGTTTACTAGGTGGTGGTGATTGTGATATAAGAATAGATAAATTATTTTCTAAGTATAAAAAAGATGATATACCGGTTTTCAAAATATTTAAAAATATCAGCAGGCGACAAGTGGTTCATAAATTGCCCAGCAATGCAGTGCAGTAGTGCGAAATTTGGTGTGAATCAGGCAATTTTAATTTATTATAGGCACCTTCTATTCATATTACAATTGCGAAAGGGAGGAATAAGAGGGATATTTTGTTTACTAATATTATCACAACATGGCATTTTGGAGACCTTTTGAAACTGAACAAAACAAAATTTACCACTAACATAATAAAATTGTTTGAGGACATAAATAATTAAAATATGTTGTTTGGCCAATTGAACATATAATAGAAATTTTCTACACATTATATACAAATTATTATAATTTTTTACCTTTAGCAGGGACGCCTATGAAACTCATTAAATTTTATTACTAGACGTTTTTTTGCGTATTCAACTGACTTCGGAAGGAAGGACTATAGCAACCACATGTTTTGTCTGACTTTCAAAGCCACATCTAGAAGACGATTTTGTAAAAATTTCAGATAACCTTTGTCCATAAAACAATCTGGCAAGAAAAAAGACTCAACAAGAATACCGTTGACGATAGCAGACCTCATATTACTGAAAAGATTTTCTTTCGTTCATTTCATGTTGCTGTAAGAACCTCTAGTTACAATGAACCCAAATTAGAATGGTTTTGTAGGTGTAAGGCTCGAACTTTTGCACATGAAATAGTTGCAACTGATTTTTCCGCAATGTTATCCAAATTTTTTAGCTCAATTCAACCTGGAATGCATTTCTCGAGTACCTGTTATTAGTCTTCATCATCTATATAGTCTAGATTCAAAATTTATTCTCTTGTTATCTGCTTTCTGATATTACGCTATTGATTATAGGATTTTATGGATAACGTTCAGGATATTTTATTACATGAATCGTTCAAATGGTCATTTTAGATGAAAAAACCTCGGAGTCCTATTAAATTAGAGAGTGGAAATTGGAGACAGGGGTGAAAATGCATCCCTTTCAGTTTTTTAATTGTAGCTCGAAAACGAAGCAAAATTTCACTATAGTTCATAGGAAAAATTATTTAGAGAATTGAATTTCCCATCGAAATGGCTTATTTAATCAATTTGAAAGGAATATTTTATGCACAAAATCGTTAATAAACAATTTGAAAGAAGCAAAAAATTCGATTTTTTATTTTTTTTACTTTTTTGCCTCTAGTTTTTTTTGTAGATAGGTTTAGACATTGCTTCATAAAAAAAGTAGATAAAATTTCCTTCAAAATAAGAGGTTGTAAAGTATTTTTGAATGAAAATTGACTGATATATGGCCGCTCAAACTTACAATTAGCCATTTTTTTTATTTTCGTCGCTTTTACGCTTATACGTTTTAATTCTCATTTTTTGCAAAAAAAAGGGAAATAAGACGTTCAAGGATTTTCATCACATGACTTGTTCAAAGGGTCATTAAAAATGAAAAAATTGTGGAGTACTTTTAAATTAGAGGATTGAAATTGAAGATAGGGGTGAAAATGCACTATTGCAGTTGTTTAAATATAGCACGAAAACGAAGCAAAATTTCGGTATAGATCATAGGAAGTATTTTATAGAGAATTGAATTTCCCATCGAAATGGTTTATTTAAAAAATTTAAAAGAAAAATTTGATATAAAAAATCGTTAATAAACAATAAAAATGAGGCTTTTTGATTTTTTTACTTTTTTGGCCATTTTTTAGTAGAAGTAGGCAAAGAAAATTGCTGTACAAATAAACTAAATGAGATTTCCTTCAAAATAATGCGTTTTCAAAAGTTTTTGGACTAATATTAAGTGAGTTATAACTTAAATATTTTTTAGATTTTCGTCGTTTTTAACATACCTAATAATGATTATAATTCTTATTATTTTTACAAAAAATTAGTTCTTTACTTAATAGTTATTTCAAGTTCTTTTTTTTTGTTAATAAAGAAAATAAAGATTTTCGCAACTTTCGCAAAAAAGTAAAAAATCAAAAAATCTTATTTTTTGCTTTTTTTAAATTGTTTATTAAGGATTTTTTTCGTAAAATTTTTCTTTTAAATTTTTGAAAGCCATTTCAATGGGAAATTCAATTATCTACAAAATTTTTCCTATGAACTATAGCTAAATTTTGCTTCGTTTTCGAGCTACAACTAAAAAACTGAAAGGTGTGATTTTTCACCCCTATCTCCAATTTCCACCCAATTTAATAGCACTTCGAGGTTTTTTCTAAAATGACCCTTTGACCGATTCATGCAATAAAATTGCTTGAACTTCATAGGTCCTTTTAACCCTGTTTTTTTGGATATAATCAATAGCCTATATACTAGGTCTTCTCGCATGCTCTTCACGATGTTTTCCCAAATCACCAGTATTTGTGCTCCTTTTCACAACCTAAAACCTTGCGATGCAGCATTGGCATTTTGACGACACTCGCCATAAATTAATGATAACATATCAACGAATTCATTATAGCCATAAACATTGGCCATCGCAAGAGAAATTATACGATCAAAATTCGTGGGCAAAATCCACGATAGAACTGACTTCAACAAACAAGATAGAACATAAAGCATTCACAAAAACAAAATCAAAAACATTATATTTACGTTTTGCCTGTTTATACTATTGATCGACATACTTGATTAAATTCTTTGCAAGGCTCACCCTGACTTTTTTACAATTATTTTGTAGTTATTTAAAAAATGGAGTTTGAAAAAGAAATTTTCGAGAAGTTCTACGTTGTTAAAAAATATTAGTTGCCCTGTGTAGTTAATAATAATTTTTAATTTCAGGGACTGTTCACCCCATGCTGACGATAACACACACTTCATATTCTTGTCACGAAGTCTTAGGAAAAAAGAGCACCGATTCCTCGCCGTCCCATAGCCAAATATCCAGGAATTCCTCGAAAAAATCAAATAATTCCCTCTTGGTGAATAATGGAAAACTAGAAGGTAGGTATGCCTTTATGAAAGCATGACAAAGACGTGTTTAATATTAATCACTATCACGATATTTTAGAAATTATTAAAGCATAGTTTCACTTGGAAACATATCTTTTTAAAACTTAAAGAAACAAAATGACATACGATTTGGCTTATTTATTAACTTATAGCAGAATGCAGCGATGCTGCCGACACATTGGTAATAGACACCCGGTATTTGGGCGTTGCAAGGAACCAATTGAATCACAATGTAAGACGAATTTGGCTCACGTCCCTTATTTACATACGAAAGATTTATGGGATAAACAGGGGCAAATTAGATTGCAACCCATACTGTTTATTTTCGCACACTTAAAAATAGACTAAACGTTATTAGAAAAAGGAGGAGTAAACAAAGCGGCCGCGATTGATTTATTTGGCGGGCCGAGCGCCGATTCCGTAAAACTAACGCACTTTTCCCCGGCCTTGATTATTTTCACTTTTATTTTTCTTTACCTAATACAAATAATCCGATGCCTGCGGATAAACCTGTACCTAGCGGATTAATTACTGTTTCCCATCCTATCGCGCTCAGCCGCATACCGTTTATTATTGCTAAAAAAATGCACCATGCAAAAGAGCCAAACCTGAAGGCCTTTATTCCTATTAAATATTCCATTAAAATAGCGACTTACTACTAGTACCTGAAGTTGAGGTGTCAGTGTAAAGAATCCTGTTGGCTATTTCATTTTTGTTAGTTAAACTGTCAGCAACATAACTGTCTGCAATTGTGGCTGATTTCCACCCACCATGTCTCTTGCTAATACATCAATTCCTGTATTAGCCAGTAACGTTGCCGATGTTCTTCGGAATGAATGGCCTGTATGTGTTTCAGGATGTTCTAGTTTTATTATTGTCAATGACAGAGATTGCCATTAAATACAAAAATACAGACCATATCAAAAGGCTATAGCTAACGTTTTTAGAGGGTTATTTTTTAAAATCAAACAAAGATTCTTTAAAAAAATGCACGATTGTGTATTAATAAAGTATTGTACATAATATGTACCTGTGGTAATTGGTAATTATCTATATAATATACATATTTAAAAATTACACACAAATTGAACTTTTACTCAGTTATGGACACAGAACCACACGGTTTTATGGTGGAATATTGCACACCCATAATACTACGTGTGACACATCTGCTTTGTTTGCTACATTGTCGCATTTTATCCGTTTTTTATTTTCCTTCCACTCCATTTCGTTATCTAAAAGACTTTTTTCTTCCAGAAGTAAGGCACATTGTGAGAAAGGCGAGTATGCTGGATGTGAACCAAGTGAAGGTGTCGTTAAAGGATATCGTCTGTTATTTATCTTTATTGGAGGCCGGCAGACCAGAAGACAAGCTGGAATGTGAGTATTATAAAACGTTTCGCAAGGTACGAGAGAGCATTTCGATTAATCAACAGAGTACAATAACTTTGTTTCTAAAATATACCTATATAAATCGTGATTATTTTTGCAGTTATGTTTCGCCTGTATGACACGAACGGTGATGGAGTACTGGACACGAATGAAATGGATTGCATTGTGAACCAAATGATGACGGTGGCTGAATATTTAGGATGGGACGTATCCGAATTGAAACCGGTAAATCCATCACATTTACATTTATAGGAAATATGTTTGATATGAACCACCACACCGTTTAACCGAATGATTTTGGTGGATCGATAATTCCATTTATAATCCAAAAGCAAATAAATCGTTTAGTGGGTGTTGCATATTTCTTTGTTACGCACACATATAACAAAGGCGATTCCATTAAAACAAAATGTTTCAGATATTAAAAGACATGATGATAGAGATTGACTACGACGCCGACGGCACTGTATCTTTGGAAGAATGGAAGAGAGGCGGACTGACAACAATACCCTTACTAGTACTTTTAGGACTCGATGCCAACGTGAAAGAAGACGGTAATCACTTGTGGAGACTGAAACACTTCAGCAGGCCGGCGTATTGCAATCTCTGTCTGAACATGTTGGTAGGACTGGGCAAAAAAGGATTGTGTTGCACATGTAAGTTACTAAAACTTTTAGTTTTAAATACTTAATCATTTTAATTGCTAATGTCGTAGATGAGGGCAATGTCTACGCCTATGACTTTTTACTGTAAAAATTACATCTTTTCGTCTTTACAATATAAATTCCACACCAATTTTTCACAAAGGAAAAAAGAATTGATAGATTAATACAGCAAACTAATAAAAAATAAACATAAATAAGTGTAATATAAAAAATATGTATACATATATGTAAAATTACTGGTCACACGTAGACAAGGCGAAAACCTCGCATTCGTGGGAGAAATTTTCCGACTCGATTTTTTTATATATTCAGATTCGTGAGATATTCCTTAACATGAATCAAGATGATGCCGGCCGGAAATCAGGTGCCCATTTGTTTAAACAAACTTTTTTAAATTGTGAATAATGTGCTCATAGCACATTATTCACAATTAAAAAACAAGGCTTTAAAATAATGAGTCCCAAAAACTTTTCAGCATCTTGTAGGGGGATGTTTAAACTTTAATTTGGGTACCTGGCAACATCAAAAATAACAATTTTTAACCCGGAAATCGGCCGTTGAAAATCGTCAATTTCGCATTTTTAGCAACTTAAATTGTTTATAACTTTAAAACATCAATTTTACAGGCATATTGCATAGGAACATTTTTGTTTATAATGTGCCAAAAGACCTAAAAAAAATGTTCCAGAGTAAAAAAACCAATTTTTCCAATTTGTTTAAAGAAGTTTGTTTCAACAAATGGGCACCAGATTTCCGGCCGGCATCATCTTGATTCATGCTAAGGAACATCTCACGAATCTGAATATGCAAAAACATCGAGTCGGAAAATTTCTCCCATCCCACGAATGCGAGGTTTTCGCCTTGTCTAACGGGCAATATCCAAAAAAACGCTAGTTAATCTCCAGGTGACGTCATAACATTGTCGGGAGTGTGCACAATATCGTTTCTCTTAGTATTCGTACCCTACCAAGGACCAGTATAAATACTAGCCAGACGACGTAATCTCGAGTTTCAGGATTTCTTCTGAAGAAGGCGATACGTCTCTCGAAACATGAAGAAATCTAAACCGACGACGTGGAACCAGCCCATAAATTGTTCAGTTATATTCAGAAAAGTGTTATTTTAATAAAGTACACAATACAATAGGCGTAGAAGTTATGTTTTAACAAAGAAACTCACCACACCATATCTACGACAGTACTAACTGAAATGTTCGATTATTAGAATGTTTAAAAAATTGTAAGGCCTATACAAGGTGTCTCATAATTAGCTGCCAACCCTGAACAGGCCGATTCTATGATCAAAATTAAGTAAAAAAGTTCATATGAACATGGGTCCGGAAATGCTTCCTAAGGGCACAGGGACCCATTGAAAAGGGAGGAATGGAAATCATTTTTTTGCAATATCTCTCAATCGCGTTGTGATAAATGAATGAAATTTGGTATACACAGCTAAATTTTGATGAGCAATTTGATGGACTAATCCATTTATTTCCACAAGGTCCATTGGGGTGGGTACGGGGGGGCCCTTGGTACTTTGCGTGTGTAACTTTTTCATCTTTGACTTTTTAACAAATTGGACAGCAAATTCCGTTTTCCCGAACTGTTTTACGTTAAAAAGGTACTCTTGTTTCAAATCGTTATCTTTAACGGTTTCTGAGAAAATCGCTCTTGAATTAATCCCACTTTGGTCAATTTCATAGTAATTTAAACAAAAAAAATTTTTTTGTTTAAATTTAATCTAATTTTAATAAAAAAATAATAATAAAAAATTAAATTAAATAAAAATTAATCCTTTAAATGGAAAAGAGAGGAAAGGAAAATTATTATTATTTTTTTTTGTTTAAATTACTATGAAATTGACCAAAGTGGGATTAATTCAAGAGCGATTTTCTCAGAAACCGTTAAAGATAACGATTTGAAACAAGAGTACCTTTTTAACGTAAAACAGTTCGGGAAAACGGAATTTGCTGTCCAATTTGTTAAAAAGTCAAAGATGAAAAAGTTACACACGCAAAGTACCAAGGGCCCCCTCGTACCCACCCCAATGGACCTTGTGGAAATAAATGGATTAGTCCATCAAATTGCTCATCAAAATTTAGCTGTGTATACCAAATTTCATTCATTTATCACAACGCGATTGAGAGATATTGCAAAAAAATGATTTCCATTCCTCACTCCTCAATGAGTCCCTGTGCCATTAGGAAGTATTTCCGGACCCATGTTCATATGAACTTTTTTAGTTAGTTTTGATCATAGAATCGGCCTGTTCAGGGTTGGCAGCAAATTATAAGACACCCTGTATAGGCTATTGATTATAGGATTTTAAAAGGAACAATGACGTGCAAGATATTTTATTACATGAATGGTTCAAATGGTCATTTCAGATGAAAAAACCGTGGAGTGGTTAAATTAGAAGGTGGAAATTGGAGATAGGGGTGAAAATGCACCCATTTCAGTTTTTCAATTGTAGCTCGAAAACGAAGCAAAATTTCGCTATAGTTCATAGGAAAAATTATTTAGAGAATTGAATTTCCTATCGAAATGGCTTATTAATAAAAGAAAATTTTATGCACAAAATCGTTAATAAACAATTTGAAAAAAAGCAAAAAATTCGATTTTTTGATTTTTTTTCCTTTTTTGCCTCTAGTTTTTTTTTTGAGTAAATATAGGTATAAGTATTGCTTCATAAAAAAAGTAAATTTCCTTCAAAAAAAGAGGTTGTACAGTATTTTTGGATGAGAATTGACTGATATATGGCCGCTCAAATTTGGCCAATTTTTCGATTTTCGTCGCGTTTACCATATACTTTTTTTTTAATTTTTTTGCAAAAATGGAAGGAAATAAGACTTTTAAGGATTTTCATCATATGACTTGTTCGAAGGGTCATTAAAAATGAAAAAAACGCGGGGAGCTATTAGATTAGGGATGAAAATGCACTTTTGCTGTTTTTTAAATATAGCTCGAAAACGAAGCAAAATTTCGGTATAGTTCACAGGAAAAATTTTGTAGAGATTTGAATTTCCCATCGAAATATCTTATTTAAAAAATTTAAAAGAAAAATTTTATGGAAAAAATCGTTAATAAACAATTTTAAAAAAGTAAAAACTAAAATTTTTATTTTTTTTATTTTTTTACACTAATTTTTTTTTAGTAGAAGTAGGCAAAGAAAATTGCTGTACAAAAAAACTAGATGAGATTCCCTACAAAATTATGCGTTTTCAAGAGTTTTTGGACTAATATTGACTGAGTTATAACCGGTCAAACTTAAATAATTTTTAGATTTTCGTCGTCAAATAAGTAAAAAAATCGAAAAATCTTATTTTTTACTTTTTTAAAATTGTATACGCCTCCGTATCCTACTGGATTCTTGTTGCGCGATTTTGTCAATGCCGCGGCTAGTGAGGCTCCTGGGAATGCGTAGAACTTCGTATTGCTTTTATTTTGTAAAAAAATATCACAAAACTTTCTAAAATGGTATGCTACTGAAATAATAGCCTGGTTTATGGTTTTACCGTGGCCTGAGAGTCAGTAGTCGATTCGTAATTATGCGTCTGTCACTATCTTAATTTAATTGATGACTGATGACAGCGATGTCGCTGTGTTTTCGCTGTCTACGATGATTTTATATTTATTTTACATTAGATTTAATGCAAAGTCTCGGGTTCAGTGACAATTGTTTATTAACGATTTCTTCAATAAGTTTTTTTTTTAATTTTTTAAATAAGCCATTTCGATGGGAAATTCAATTCTATACTAAATGTTTCCTATGAACTATACCGAAATTTTGCTTCGTTTTCGTGCTATATTGCAAAAAATGAGAATTAAAACGTATAAGGATAAACGCGACGAAAATCGAAAAATTGGCTAAGTTTGAGCGGCCATATATCAATCAATTCTCATCCAAAAATACTGTACAACCTCTTTTTTTTTATGAAAGAAATTTTATCTACTTTTTTTATAAAGCAATGCCTATACCTATCCTTACTAAAAAAAAAACTAGAGACAAAAAGTAAAAAAAAATCAAAAATCGAATTATTTGCTTTATTTCAAATTGTTTATAAACGATTTTTTTTTGCATAAAATTTTCCATTTAAATTTTTTAAATAAGCCATTTCGATGGGAAATTTAATTCTCTACAAAATTTTTCCTATGAACTATAGCGAAATTTTGCTTCGTTTTCGAGCTACAATTAAAAAACTGAAAGGGGTGCATTTTCACCCCTATCTCCAATTTCCACCCTCTAATTTAATAGCACTCCGTGGTTTTTCTTCTAAAATGACCCTTTGAACGATTCATGCAATAAGGTTGCTTGAACGTCATAGTTCCTTTCAACCCTGTTTTTTTTAATATAATCAATAGCCTAATATGTTTGTATCAACTTGCGCACTTCCCCGTAACACATCTTGATGAAAATCATGAAGTTTGAAACATTGCGTAAACTTAAATAAATAAAATATAACCCTAAATAAAATAATTATTCAAAATACTGTCCTCCCGCTTCTAATGATTTTTAAGATCTTTTTAAAGAATCTACTGATGTTTATATAATTTTTTAAAGTTCGAAACATCAACCTTCACATGTGACAAGTAGACTGATTGCTGCTCTTCGAGTACTTATATTTATGTCTGTCAAATATTCGAAGAATACATCTTACCAAACTGATTGTGTCTTAAACTCCTTCATTAAGATCTCTTACAGTCGTGGATCACCTTTTTTGCAAATTTGAATGAAAGACTGGATCAACCTTTAACATGGTTCCCATGTTAAACATTATCCGAATTAGCTCCGGTGACAACGGGTTATATAATGTGATGAGGGCTTCGCACATACTGACAGGAGACTGTTAGCAAATTCATAATTTTTTAATATTTCAGTTTGTAAATACACAGTTCACGAGAGATGTGTCGCCAGGGCCCCGGCCAGCTGTATAGCGACCTATGTGAAAAGCAAAAAGTCCTGTCAGACGTTACAGCACCACTGGGTGGAAGGGAACTGCCATGGGAAATGCGCGAGGTGTAGGAAACCGGTCAAGGCCGGTATCACGGGCCTCCACTGCCGCTGGTGCCAAATTACGGTGAGTGTTCACAGATGTCCGCCGTCGGTTTCAATCCCTATATGTATATCATCAATTATCAGAATTAATTACATCATTTGATTTCTCGGAAAATTTTACCAGTTTTGATATAAACATGTTGTTTCCTTTAACAAATAAAGAAGATATAAAGGTTCAAAGTTGTCAAAATCCCAATTCGTACTAGTGTGACCTTTAAGGTGTTCACCCCAAGTGTGACCTTTGAGGGTTAATCTTAATATAATGGAAACAAGCAACCAAATATATTATAAACGTCACGGCTGCCAATAGGCCTCTTGCATAAAAAAATATTTTAATAGTTTTTGTATCTACACTGAATACTACAAACAATGTGTAAAGGTTTTGTTATATTAATTTATTTTTAAAAAGTTATTAGATATTAAAGTTTTAATCGGTTCGCTTCGCGCGCAAACGCCATGGACTGGGATGTCGACACGTTGACGTCATCGGTAAGTAAATGGCAAGCGCGACATAATATACAATAACGCGTTTCGACAGTGTAGCTGACTGCTTTGGTTATTAAATGTGTGGAGTGGTGTCAATAAGCAGTACGATACCTTATATATACTGTAAATTTGTGAAGTTAAACTTATAATAACTATGGCAAATCCCTCTAAACCATATAAATAGTCCAGGCAGCATCTATTTCAAAATGTCCATATTTGGGTAAATCGTATATCCACGGAGATTTTTGGCTTTTTGGCTTTCAAATATCACTAGAAATAAAAATTTTTCTATGCGCATAAAAAAATCGTGGGCTTAATTTTGGCGGCACAATATGTTAAAAAAAATCGAAAAATGTCATATTTTTCTTCCTATTTAATTACGTATATTTTCAAGAGTTCATTTTAGGCGAAAATGGAAGAGGAAAAAAATGTTTGTAATTAAATTTTTTACAGAATATGACTAGTTACAAATCGAATGAATCATGGTTATTATTGTAAAAATCGAACAAATCGCCAAATATGGGGTTAAAAAACATTACTTTTTAGGGAATCTTTTTGAGGACTTTAAATTGGGTTGGGACTTTCATACTTGGCTCAAGAAAACTTTATGTTATGTAGAATCATTACACCAAAGGACCCCGCACAAATCTTATGGAAATTGGGTCCCGGTCAAATTCGCTGAATTTTTGATATGTGATAGAGTTCATCATACTGGTCAATTCTCTCAATGGCCACAAAGCTCAAGAATGGATAGTTTGGCCGGTACAGAGCTTTAAAGCTCCGAATATCCTCCACGGATTTATGTATATGCGCAGTGTGTATAGACTTTTGAAATAGCCTATTTCATTTTTTTTATTATCTAGGTTTATATTTTTGAGGTTGCTGAATTCAGATCTGTTGTTAGATTTTCAAAATTGACAGTTGGCAGCTGTCAAATAGCTGTCAATGTGCTATAATAAAGCCAAAAACTTGTTTTTTTATGTTTTATCTTTCTTTTTTTTTAGTTCGATAAGTTCAAAGACGATATCAAATCAATAACAATGACTATCGGCAGCTGTCATTTAGCTGTCAACAATTCTTCAAAGTCCGGTAATAAAGTCAAAAAATTATTTTTTGTTTATAACTTCAAGTTTTTTAGATAAGTGAATATAAATATGATATAAAATTATGTAGTCATCAGCTTACAGCTGTCAACAAGCTGTCAACTAACTGTCAAAATGCAATAATAAAGTCAAAAAGTTACTTTTTTTAAAAAGCTTTAAGTTGCTTAGATCACTGAGTTCAAAAGTGATGTCATAAACTTATATCATGTTTGATTTCTTATCCACAAAGTTAAGCACAAAAAATAAGTTACTTGCTCTATTATTGCATTTTGACAGTTAGTTGACAGCTTGTTGACAGCTGTAAGCTGATGACTACATAATTTTATATCATATTTATATTCACTTATCTAAAAAACTTGAAGTTATAAACAAAAAATAATTTTTTGACTTTATTACCGGACTTTGAAGAATTGTTGACAGCTAAATGACAGCTGCCGATAGTCATTGTTATTGATTTGATATCGTCTTTGAACTTATCGAACTAAAAAAAAAAAAAAATAAATCATAAAAAAACAAGTTTCTGGCTTTATTATAGCAAATTGACAGCTAGTTGACAGCTGCCAACTGTCAATTTTGAAAATCTAACAACAGATCTGAATTCAGCAACCTCAAAAATATAAACCTAGATAATAAAAAAAATGAAATAGGCTATTTCAAAAGTCTATACACACTGCGCATATACATAAATCCGTGGAGGATATTCGGAGCTTTAAAGCTCTGTACCGGCCAAACTATCCATTTTTGAGCTTTGTGGCCATTGAGACAATTGACCAGTATGATGAACTCTATCACATATCAAAAATTCAGCGAATTTGACCGGGACCCAATTTCCATAAGATTTGTGCGGGGTCCTTTCATCAAATTCGGTTAGATAGATTTTGTATAATAATTTTGCAATCCAGATTTTGAAAAATTCAAAATTTTGCACAGCAAAAACCAAGGCCCTTAGATACTTGGAAATTTTATAGAAGGGCTCTCAAGCTTTCAAATGCTTTTTGAAAAATTCGAATCCGTCAATTAGGAGAGCATAGAAAAATATTCATTTCTAGTGATATTTGAAAGCCAAAAATCTCCGTGGATATACGATTTACCCAAGCCAAAACAGGTACGGCCTAGTCTAATACTATTACTGGTGCATTGTACCGATGTGTGAAAATACATTAGTAAAAACGCCAGAATAAAATGTATTTTAAAATAAATTTATGTAGATATCTATAAATCACATTTTCATACCTGTTTGCTTTTATTCCCCTTATTTCAGCCGAATAAAATAAAATGTTCCTCGAAAAAATAATCATCATGGAATTCGGTAAATTGTCTGATGGGACTTTAGCATAACCTTGTTCGGTCACGTTACAAATATGCTTAAGAATTTTTAAAAAACTAAAAACTAATATGATTATTTAAAATAGCAAATTTAGATTTAAAATATTATTTAGATAGTAAATAATATTATGCTACCCGAGGAAAACTCACTTGAACTAAACGTCGTAAAAATTAAATATTGTACCTACAGACTTAATTATTTTGCTACATAAGTGCATATTTAGGTATACCTACATAATAGAACGGAAACCAGTTAATAAATATAACAGCACATCAGTATCGTTATCGTATCGTATGTAAACTAAAAATAATAAATATTTTTAAAAAGTAATAGGACCGACATCGTTTTCTAATGTGAAGCGGCCAGTTTNTAATTATTTTGCTACATAAGTGCATATTTAGGTATACCTACATAATAGAACGGAAACCAGTTAATAAATATAACAGCACATCAGTATCGTTATCGTATCGTATGTAAACTAAAAATAATAAATATTTTTAAAAAGTAATAGGACCGACATCGTTTTCTAATGTGAAGCGGCCAGTTTACTTACCGATGACGTCGCACCAATAGCACCTCGTTCTACGACACGCCCGTACAGGATGCTCATCTCCAAATTTCAACGTACGATTTAGTCAATTTTCGAGTAGAATTTTTCACAAAAGATTTTTTAATTAATAATTTTAAATAAGGCCATATTTAAATATGTGAACTAATATAAAAAATCCGGAATGTGCAAGAGGCGATTGGTGATTGGTGACTGGTGATTGCGCGGAGAAACGCGTTCAGCGAAAGTTCTCGGGATGACATAAAAGCTTTCTCTATATTTTATTCTTTCTTAACGGCTTCAGTTTAAAACGCTCTTTACTACCACTTTTTTAAATCGTAAGAGATATATGTTTTCATCCTTTCACATCCTTTCACCTTTGCATGTACATTGTACATCACTTATCCACTTTTTCAGCTGCACAACAAATGTGTGTCACAAGTCAAAGCGGAATGCGGTTTGGGTGAGCACGCCGTCCATATCTTACCACCTGTCTCTATCTGTCCCATCGTCCTGGACAGGCAGAGGTCTCTCCAGAAACGGGGATCCAAATATGGACAGGACAACGTAAGCACTATCCCCGCTCCCGAACAGCACTTAACCATCCGCTTTCTTCAGGGTTCCATATCAAGTTCCAACAAGCAACCGGCGATGTCCTTCCAAATAACAACGTCTCCCAACTCAATACCGCTGCTGGTCTTCATCAATCCAAAGTCGGGAGGAAGGCAGGGATCCAGGATACTCAGGAAGTTCCAGTACATACTCAACCCTCGACAAGTACATATCCTGGGGACGGGGAACGGTCCCATGCCGGGGTTGAGTATGTTCAAGGACGTGCCGAACTTCAAGGTGGTTTGTTGCGGAGGAGATGGTACCGTCGGGTGGGTGCTGGAAACCATGGGTAAGTCCATAGAGAGAGAGAGAATGTGTTGGTGGTAGTTTGCTTGAATCGCAAAGAAAATGAAAATGTTCATTTCTCAAAAATATACAGGGTGTTTCATAATATATGCGCAGGACTTCAGGATGTGATAGCTCGTCCAAAAATTTGAAAAAAAGCTAGTATTAACTTACCCTCTAAAATGCACAATTTTCGAGATACAGGGTGTTGAAATTGTAAAAAAAATTTCGTTTTTTGCGAATATCTCCGGAACCGTTTATCGTACAGAAAACAGCTTTTGTAAGCATTTACTACTCATAATAAGCTATGTTCTGTGCGAGAAAAAATTTTTTTCAAAGTCATAATTGGTGAAGATTTTGAAGGGGAAGTGGGTGTTTTTCTCCCCAACTTCTACGCCACTGGAAAAAGTACGGTTTTGAGACGCCCATTTGAACCGCCAATGTTTTCTACACAAAAAAAGTACTCTTGGTCATAAGCTCTAAAGTTGACCGTTTTCGAGAAAAATCTACTTTTATGTTGAAAAACATGGTCAATTTTTTGAAATAAAATTTTTTTACTAATTAAACAAAATTTATTTAATCGTTAGAACAAGTAACAAAACCAAACGTTAACTTCATAGTTGCAAAATTTAAAAAAAAAAAAATCGTACACAGTTAAATTAAATGTTGGAAATGTCCTCCGTTAGCTTCAATGCACGCAGCAATTCTTCGACGCATTGACTGTCTAACACGCAAGAAAATTTCCGGAGTGTTCCGAATTATGTCGCAAGATGCAACAATGCGTTCTCTTAATTGATCAACATTTTCAACTGGAGTAGCGTAGACTAGGGTTTTGAGATGGCCCCAAAAGAAAAAATCTAAACAATTAAGTTCGGGAGATCGCGGGGGCCAAGGGTGGGGACCTCCTCGACCGATCCAACGGTCTTGGTATTCGTCGTCCAAGTATTGGCGAGCAACCAAACTAAAGTGGGCCGGAGCTCCATCATGCATAAAGTACATGTTTTGTCTTACTTGAAGCGGTACATCTTCCAGCAGTTCCGGCAGTACTTCTTCTAGAAATTGTCGATAATCTGCACCGTTTAATCTGTTCGGTAAAAAATGTGGGCCTATCAAATGATCACCGACGATGCCAGCCCAAACATTCACGGAAAATTGTTGCTGATGATTGCCTTCTGCAATTTCATGTGGATTTTCTTCAGCCCATATGTGGTTATTGTGAAAATTGAAAATACCATCTCTCGAGAAAGATGCTTCATCGGTAAACATAACTTCGGCTCCAAACTGAGGATTTTGAGCTATTTTGTCTTGCATCCATCTACAAAAAGCCAATCTTGGCGGAAAATCTCTTGGCAATAAGGCTTGTACTCTTTGGATATGGTAGGGATACAAAAGTTGTCTTTTCAAAATTCTCCAAACCGTCGAGTGAGGTATGTTTAAGTTGTGAGCAATTTTTCTGGTACTTGTGATCGGATTTTCTTCAATTTCGTTGAGGACAGCCTCTTCTACTTGGGCATTTGCAGCTTCCATAGGCCGCCCATTATCAGCAGTATTCTTTTTAAAACTTCCATTTTCCCATAGTCGTTGGTGAATGCGTTGAAACAAGTTATGATGTGGTACTTGGCGATCACGATGTCTTTCTTGATACAACCGCCTTGCTTCTGCCGAATTACCGCTCGCCATTCCGTAAAGGTAATGCATTTCGCACATTTCAGCGTTTGTGTAATTCATTTTTACTTTTGTAATACAAATTGACTTTTCGCAGGTACAAACTAATTGTTATTTTGACAGGAGGTAGCTTTCGTTTTAAAATTTAAAGCCTACTTGATAAAAAAAATTATAATACATTTAGTAAAATAAAAATTTTATTTCAAAAAATTGACCATGTTTTTCAACATAAAAGTAGATTTTTCTCGAAAACGGTCAACTTTAGAGCTTATGACCAAGAGTACTTTTTTTGTGTAGAAAACATTGGCGGTTCAAATGGGCGTCTCAAAACCGTACTTTTTCCAGTGGCGTAGAAGTTGGGGAGAAAACACCCACTTCCCCTTCAAAATCTTCACCATTTATGACTGAAAAAAAATTTTTCTCGCACAGAACACAGCTTATTATGAGTAGTAAATGCTTACAAAAGCTGTTTTCTGTACGATAAACGGTTCCGGAGATATTCGCAAAAAACTAAATTTTTTTTACAATTTCAACACCCTGTATCTCGAAAATTGTGCATTTTAGAGGGTAAGTTAATACAAACTTTTTTTCAAATTTTTGGACGAGCTATCACATCCTGAAGTCCTGCGCATATATTATGAAACACCCTATATAGGTACTGTTTTTAATATTTTGCCATGTGGCTACGGTTTCTTCAATAATTAGGGAAGGTTAATAAAAATAACACGTGGCTAATCCTTTTGATGCAAAGGTCTCTTTAACTTATTATTCTCCTCGCGTTTACTAATTGTCACATTTTTCTCAAAATGATTTGACCGGTAAAGTCACTAAAACAGCATGATGCGACGTACTACTGGAACCTGAATTGAAGTGTCATTGTAAAGAATCCTGTTGACTATTTCATTTTTGTTACTTAAACTGTTAGCAACATAACTTTCTGCAATTGTGGCTGATTTCCACGCACCATGTCTCTTGATTGTTAATACATCAACTCCTGTATTAGCCAGTAGCGTTGCCGATGTTCTTCGGAATGAATGGCCTGTATATATTTCAGGATGTTCTAGTTTCAACAACTGTGCAATCTTATTAGGAATCATAGAAAGGGTATTCTTGCCGACTGGTTGGTTGTAATATCTACATGCTTGATAGCGCATAAAAAAGCGTATAATTTCAGTTTTAACTTCCAATCTAATCTTGATATATTTCTTGAGAATTTTATCGAAATTTAATTGCCACTAATTCGCAGTAATACATTTTTAAAAGTAATTTCACATGTACAGTATGAACTTTTTACGAAACAAAATAGCCGTTTCAATGAGAGGACCTGACCTAGCCACTTGTTACATTAAAGACCCACCGCGGCCCTATCGACGGCACACCGCAGGCCGACCAAACTTGTAAAACCCCCACAACCGCTACCCGGGAACTTCTGGCTGTCGCCTCACCCTTGTCATCAGCCCTCCCCCACCCAAAACGCGACCTGATTATTTCGCGGAGTCCCAGATTTGAATCCGCACCCCATTGTCTGCTCTGGGGTAAGTCAGGACAGATTGCCGGGCCGAATAAGTTGCGGAACGGGATAAGGAGGTCGAGATAGGGCCTCTTAAATTTAATTTATAGGCGTCGCGACGTAAAGCGACTGTAACTCGAGACGTAAATAAGGATGAAGCGCGGATCGCAGGCTTTATCTCTTATTATTTATTACGGCATAAATTAGTAATCCCGAGTAATTGTGGCTCGCGTGGCGTTTAAGCCGTAGAGGAAGGTCGCGACCTCGAGAATTTTAATATCGCACGAGCGCACCGACCTGCCTCGGAATCTCCAGGATTTTCAGTTCGCTCGGTAGCCCCATTCTCCCGCAGGGTGAATTATGACAAAAAAACAGGCAGCATCAGAAATTAATCTATACATTAAGAATGAGACATACGTAATGGGAGATTCCTTGATTGAACTTAGCATGTCTTAATCAGGCTCCTTATTAATACTAAACAGTGTAAAATTTAAAAAATAAAACTTTTGAACGATAATCTCAGCATCACCAAAAGCTCTAACGCGAACCATTCTCAAGAAAAATGGCTTTTTATGATGGAAAACAAAAGAAAGTGGCAAATGATGAAAAAAAATATTTCAAAATTAAGCAAATAAACAACAAAAATCACTCAGTTATTGAAAATGGCGTCCTCCTAAGGTAATGCAGGTTTCCAACCTACGCCTGAGTGACTGACGTACACTGAAAAAAAGTATTTCAATAAAATGAGCAGATAGTTTTAAGTGGAATTATTTTCCGTAAATGTTAGTTTATTCTATTCAAATGTATATACTTTCGTCAAACTAAGTGAAATATTTGCTATAATTTTTCTTAGAATTTATATTATTTGTAAATATATACAGGGTGATTCACAACTTATCCTAAAATATTTGGGAATAGATGCAGCATGAGAAATGGAATCAATATTGTAAAAAAAATGTTTGTAAAATCCTTATAGTTTCCGAGAAAAAAAATATTGAAGTTATAGTACATTCAACCACTACATAGCTGGACAACTGTAGTCTCTAGCGTCATTCGCCACGTGGCCTCAGCGACTCCGAATACTGAATTCGGATTTTGCAATCGTCGTTGCGATATTTACCTGTTATATGTGGTGTTTTAGTAGTTACTGTCAAAAATGGGTAGTTAGTGTCAAAAATGGTTTGCGTGTACTCGGAGAAGGCAAAAACAGTTGAAATTCTATTTACATATTTCTTTCCTTGCGAAAGTTTTTGTCCGTTTTTATCACACCGCCATGCCGGTCGCATTGTGCTAGGTCAGGTTTTACAGTGGACCAGTTTTCTGTGCCGTGCAGAAGTGTATTTTTAAATCATTTTCGAACTGCCCTTTTTGATTTTTTCTTTACAAAGTCGTATTTATAAGGGTCCCCTGTAAATTCAGATTTTTTTTTTTTTTGGATATGTTCTGAATCACCCTGTATAATTTAATTCAAATCTTTTATAGTTTTGAAATTTATTATCTCGAACTTTAGCTACAATATCTCTTACAGTTTATCATAAACTGCAAATATTTATACAGGGTCGGAAAGTCCCCATGGTTCATCGGCCGTTACGTGAGAGCGACAAAGTAAGTCATAGAAATCCGTGCGATAGAGAAAGATGGCAATAATAAGAAGTGGATCTTATTTGTGGAAGGGCGAAATGGGCGATGACTATTAGACGCCTTCATTATAGCCATCTTTCTCTATCGCACGGATTTCTATGACTTTCTTTATCGCTCTCACGTAACGGCCGATGAACTATGGGGACTTTCCGACTCTGTATATTTTTAAAATTTAGTATTAATGTAGGAATTATTCAAGGCAAATGTAGCATATTATAATCAAACTTATGTTTTCTTGAAACAAAGAAAATTGTAGGTTATAATAACGTAGCTAAGACATTGGAATATTTGTGTACTTTATGTGAATATTGAATTGTTAGTTAATTTTTGATATTTTATGAATTTGTCTACTTAAAAATCAATGAATAATAATTAAACTATTTCAGTTATTGTGTTTGTAATAAAATTTTTCCTGAAGATGTATTAAAATCCAGAGTAATTAACAGAAAATAATTAAAATTAAAAAACTACTGTAGGCGAAAACACATACAAAACCAATGAAAAAAACCTCTCAAGTCCCTTCCTCATTATTTCCAGACAAAGTAGAACTGGAGTGTCAACCAGCAGTGGCGGTAATACCGCTGGGCACCGGGAACGACCTAGCAAGGTGTCTACGATGGGGAGGAGGCTATGAGGGCGAGTCCATCCATAAAATCCTACATAAAATCGCCAGGGCTTCCACGGTCATGCTGGACAGGTGGCTGATTGAGCTCACGGACACGGCACCCCCGGATCCCGATCAGAAGATCGCCGACACCCGGATACCGTACAACATAATCAACAATTATTTTTCCATCGGCGTGGTAAGTACAGAGTTCGACAATGCCACGAACATAATTCGTGAGCAACAAGGATATAAATGTGATCACATACACTAAAGTTAATTAGAGTTATGTCACAATACAATTTACAGATCTTCCATTTTTCCATCCATGATCGGCGAATAAATTTTTTATTTCATGTTTTATTTCTTTTTGCACTTATGAATCGCTGGATATAACGTTAATCCATTTTATTTTTGTCATATTCAAATAAGTCGCCCTGTATGTATGTGTATTCATTTTGTATACTGCAGAGCCAAAATAATAGGCAGTGGAGTTAAAAATAAATCAAACTACATTTTTACTATATTTTGTGCTGATAAAATATGTTGTGTCTTTGCATTGAAATTGTAATGTGCCATTAATTTCGTATAGTGTTCCAATAATATGTTCGATTTGCGTGTGCGTTGTTGGTGCGTTCTGTATTTTTGGAACCTTCGAAAATGATACGCCCATGGAATGGCATGCCTGCTATTTTAGCACTGGAATATACACCATTTGTAATTGAATTGTACCAATTGTACTTTAACTTACTTTTTAATTTCTAAATCTAAAAACTTAATTATGAAATTAGATCGTTTCAACTGGAACGCATTGTATATCCCAAACACATATTAACGAAATTTATTTAAAAACAGTTTCGCGTAGGTATTCCAAATATACTTGTAACTTGGTGTGAAAATATATATTTTTTGTTTAAGTTTAATAAAATGCAAATTTTGTCATTATATTATTTTCCAGGACGCCGCCATTTGTGTGAAATTCCACTTAGAGCGGGAGAAGAACCCGGAGAAGTTCAACAGCCGCATGAAAAACAAGTTGTGGTATTTCGAATACGCCACATCGGAACAATTTTCGGCGTCCTGCAAAAACCTACACGAGCATATTGAAATAACTGTACGTACAACTTTCAGTGGAGGTCCGAAACTTTCAAAACCACATGTGACCCACTTGGGGCTGTATTAACATTTTTAAGGACAAACGTGGATAATGTGGAATGAGACAGGGCGATATAAGTCCTTTTGTCTTCATTGTCCATGTCTGTTTAACGAATTGGAAATTAATATCAATAACTATACGTTTGTTCTTAAGGAAATTTCACTATTTGACTAATTAAATGCCTTAAAGTGAGTCGTAATTAAATGAGAGAGGCCACGGTTACGAGCACAACAATTGTTATTGTTACAAAATCGTACAAATCTCTGTCACAATAGTTTATATCGGGTCTCCCGAAATTCACGCAAGATTTGAATTTTGCGCCATTTATGCGGCAAGGCGCGAATTCGCAAACAGTGTAACCGCCGCCTAACACCTAAGCTACGCCTAAGTTAATGTATTATTGTTTCAGTGTGATGACGTGAGCTTGGATTTAGCCAACGGGCTTCCCCTGCAAGGCATCGCCCTCCTCAATATTCCCTACACGCACGGCGGTTCCAATCTATGGGGCGAACACCTATCGGGATCTAGAAGACGGACCAAGAAGAAAAAAAGACAGAAGGACCTGAGCACCAATAGCTTTAATTCCGTAGATCTTAGTGTAGCATTGCAAGGTAAGGACCATAGGGCGATTTTGGAATTATGTTTGAGTGTTTTGTCTCGTTTAGATATTGGTGATGGACTCATAGAAGTGATAGGGTTAGAAAACTGTCTCCATATGGGACAGGTAAGAACTGGCTTGAGGGCCAGCGGTAGGAGATTAGCGCAGTGTTCGTCCGTCGTAATCAAAACCAAGAAGACCTTCCCCATGCAGATCGACGGGGAACCTTGGATGCAACCACCAACAACAGTAAGTTAAGGAACGGGAATAAGTTTGAGGATGGGAGAGAGGTTCTTCTGTTTCATGCGCTGTCGCCCCGATGTCTAGTGCGCATCTGTGGGCGGGTCCGACTCACCCGCAAACTTATTCTTGCTAACCTATGCGTTTAATATAAATATGCAGTGTGTAACTTTATGTGGGATCAGTTCAGGGCTTACTAGAATACTAATCCGAAATATCTTTTTTTTTTTAATGAAATGAATGTAAGTAGTCGATTTATAATTCGTTTTTTAAACTACACGGAAATTCTTGTTTATGCCCCCACTCGGCAGAACCCGAATTGTTGTATCAGCGAGCTTATCGATAAATTTTATAAAACCAGATTGCTTTTGTATGACCTTATGGCGGGTTATTTTAAAGTAACCAAATTTTTTTTTATTTTAATAAAAAGTATTTGTTACTATTCGTTTCAATAATGTTTAGTTTGCGATTTTCACTGTCAATGATCTCTGGCATTTATCTGCTTTAGGTGAACTGCATAACATCATGCATTTACTAATCCACTTAACCTCATTCAAAATTGCACTCTATATAGGTACATGAGTCAATTGAGACTTTGGGTTAAGCCGCTTTCACACGATGCGACATTTTGTCGCTTCGTCCGATACGATATAGTTCCGAAAAGCCTGTCATTACCTAATTCTTATTATTTTAATAGTTATACCTAAAGTACAAGCCGTGTGTTTCATATTGATATTTTGTCGTTTTCAGATACGTATCACTCACAAAAACCAAGTGCCAATGCTAATGGCACCCCCTCCCGAGAAAGGAAAAGGCTTCTTCAGATTCTTTCGTAGGTAGAAATCTACAAGTTAGTTACCTCAAAGTGATATTAAATTAAATTATTCCTCTACTCTAGTCCTTTGCAAAGTTTATTTAACGGTGACAATAACTTAATTTATTCTGTTTTCGCGTACCAGTTTACATGTTGTCCATTTTTTTTAGTTCATTATTTAATGTCCGTAATATTAAGTGTTACATTAGGAGTACGTGAATATTTTCGATTATAAGGAGGTATTTATTGTTATATGTGTAAATGTTACAGATTGGTGTAATATTTGTTTTTGTTTTGGCATTATATACTAATATAATGCTAGCTGCTATACAATAAATTTTAAAGCCTCCCGAGGGCGAAAATAGTATATGTAATATTAGAGGATCATAGGGACCATGATGCTTCACCAGAATCCCGTCAAATAGTACCTACGCCATTACTAACGAGTTATTATAGTGACCGTCCAATTATAAAATAATTTTCACAGCGCTCAAGTATAGTTCCGAAAAATAATAATTTTCTTTAAAAAAATCATAATAACTAACTGACTTCAAGACAAGTTGAATAAAGTTTTACTATGGAGAAAAGAGATGTGATTAATATTGCAGATTTATATAAAGTATAATTTTATTGCACAGGGTAGAAATTTCAAAAAAAGTTGGGAGTGATGGAATAGAAAAATAAGATGATGTTTCCTGTCAACTATGGACTTATTATCTTTCGTTTTTGAGCTACAGGGCACCAAATATCAATTTTTTTAATCAGATTTTGGTGACATCCATTGAAACTTTGAAAATACTAAAAACATCAATGTTATTAGTTTTATGTTGCAGAGATTTACGATTTTTATCAGTGACATTTTAAGACAATACTTTTTTAGGCTAGATTTTCTGCATTGTATGTCGGTGTATGTTCAGAAGTTTTTACACAGGTACCTTTTATGTATTAAATTTAATTTCATATTATATCCTGATATTACAACAACTGTTCAAAATTGTGTCCATCGATGTGTAAACATTTGTACCCGTCGTCTTCAGTTTCTACGAACTAACACAAATGTTGTCTTGCTTTACCATAACACAAATGTTAACTTGCTTCATCCAGCAACTCCGAGTTGCTATACACGTAAGCCATTTTTGACACTTGAAAAACTAATGTAAACACTATCGCAAAAACGTTAATAATAAAATCGGATTTCAGTATTCGGAATTGCCTGAGGCCTCGTGGAGAGAGAGTGCGTTGCACACAGCGCATAACGCGAATAACGCTACAGACTACAGTAGCCCAGTGAAGTTAGGATTTTAAATACTACAACTAACATCTTTTTTTTTTCGGACACTAAGGATTTTATAATTTTTTTTACGATATTGACTCCATTTTCATGATTCCTAAATTTTTTTGGATAAGTTGTGAATCACTCTGTATAATGGAAAAAATCTAACCTCAAAAGATGGTATGCCTTAAAATGCCAATGAAAGATTGCACCTGATGATAGTTGAAAATAAAAACACGCAATACACTATATTTTAATAAGATATGTATAACTAAAGTTATGATTTTACGTCACTTCGTCACGTTTTATGTCACGGTTATCCAGTTTTACGTACGATTATCCAGTTTTACGTTACGGTTATCCAGTTTTTACGTGACGATTATCCAGTTTTACGTCACGGTTATCCAGTTTTTACGTGACGATTATCCAGTTTTACGTGACAATTATCCAGTTTTACGTGACGATTATCTATTTTACGTGACGATTAGCCAGTTTTTCGTCACGTATATCCTCCTTAGATCAAATACTATAAAGTTGTTTACCAAACGATTTTTATATTATAATGTGAATTCGCCTCTTGAAAATAATAAAAGAACATTATCAGAAAACGTTAATGATGAGATGTTGAAACTACACAAAGAAATAATTATAGTATTAAGTATATATCATTTTTTGGCGCCTTGTATCTAAAAACTAAAAGACGATATGTAGTTTATAGAGAAAATCGTTTTATTTTTTGATGTTCTACCAATCCCTGAGTAACTTTTTCCAAAAAACCCTGTATAGAAACAAGATACGAAATTTCACAATTGCATTAAGTTTGTAGTACCTATACAGTGCATTCGACTTGTGAGAAAAGAAAAAGGGACCATTATTAGTAGCATTTATAATTTATTCTTTAATATATCACAAACCAGTAGACATGACTGTATTGTATTAAACAGAAAATCAGGGACGAATGCCTGAATCACAAAACATTTATATTAAGGTTAAAATCACTAAATACTTTCAATTTCGTGGACCCACAAAATCTGATCACTTAACCTCAAAGCTTCTGTTTTCAGGTTCAACATAGTTTTTTCTTAGAGCATATACTAGATGGAGGAAGCACGCTTACGGCGACAGTGTACACCAGTGGCAGGAAGAGAAAGAGATAGTTTGGGTACCATCTTTCTTTCTCGCGAAAGCACGTGATTGGCTAAAGCAACTCCTTCCTCAACGAATAGTCCAATTAACTAAGCCTTTAAATCGAAATTTTGCCAACTTGGCTGAATTTTTGATATGAGTTAGTTTAAGGTATATTATAACAATAAGTGAGAGTAATTTTTTGTTCAACCCCCGGCCAAGGGTGGAAAAAGATAAAACAAAGGGCTTTTTCAAGATAACTCAAAAAGGGTAAGAGCTAGAAAAAAAAGTTTTTCATGAAAGTTGTAAAGCAGACAATTCTACATAAAAATGGCCTCTTAACTTTTTCTTGTACTATTACAATTAACAGAGTTAGGGAGGCTAGAAGTTAAGGGAAGATTTCAGAAATTTAAAAAAAATCATAACAAACAGAAAAATGATTGAATTTTGTAATTTTTTTTTTCAATCTGCTCTAAAATATGTAACTTTTCTTTTCAGAGAAATAGATATATTTTTTAATTTTTAATAAGAAAGTTATAACAAAAAATCAAATTTTTAATCGTTAATTTTAATGATTTAACAAAATTAAATTTCTGAAATCTTCCCTTAACTTCTAGCCTCCCTAACTCTGTTAATTTTAATAGTACAAGAAAAAGCTAAGAGACCATTTTTATGTAGAATTGTCTGCTTTACAACTTTCATGAAAAACTTTTTTTTCTAGCTCTTACCCTTTTTGAGTTATCTTGAAAAAGCCCTTTGTTTTATCTTTTTCCACCCTTGGCCGGGGGTTGAACAAAAAATTACTCTCACTTATTGTTATAATATACCTTAAACTAACTCATATCAAAAATTCAGCCAAGTTGACAAAATTTCGATTTAAAGGCTTAGTTAATTGGACTAGAATATCCAAACCATCGCTTTTTCTCTCTACAATGTCTACACTTTTTAACACGAGGTGCTTCCTCCATGTAGAATATTATGTTTTAGGGTTTTTTTTCTAAATAATATGATGTAGAAGAGTAGAATTTGTATCTATATCTTTGTCTGTATATTATGGCTTTTGAACTACTGCACATATTTGTTTGATCACTCGTAAAATTGGGAGAAAGTAAACGAGACGTATGTGAAAATTATTTTTTGACTGGACGTCGGGGAAAATCCAAATTAAAAAACTAGTAGTTATTTATTATACACTACACTTTAACTAAGATAAGCATTTTGAATATTCTACGCTTTAAGCGTTCGTGTATAAACTATGTTTATATTGATTGTATTACATGTTGATTGAACATTATATTGTATTTATTTATTAAAATGATGTATCTATGATAAATATAGTCGTTAGAAGTTTATAGAGAATGTACCGTGAATTTCTGAGTCAGAGAGTTAAATTTAGTATTTTAATTTAAATTATTTATTTTTATATAGTGCTACATAAAGTATACAATACTTAAACGTTAGTGAGAGGAAGGTCGAAGGGCGCTCTCATATTGGTTTAAAATTATTAACAAAATCATTAGTAATAAAGTCATCTATGCACAATTTTTTCTTAAAAGAACATAATTGCTTTTCTGTTCGTAATGTAGTTCTTAATCGTTTATTACCTCTGTGAAAGTTAAGCCAAAATATAAAGACATTTTCAACTTTGGAGATTTTGAACAATAAATGAAGGTCCCTTTAATGAAATTTTGAAAACATGGGAGGCAGTGAATTAAAAGGTTGATATTCTATAGTCAATTTTCAGAGCGATTCTTTTAGTAAAAGGAAAAATGAAAAAATAAGAACAATATTTGTTCCTAATGTGATTATTAAGGGCTCAACAATTGTTCAAAGATGGAAGATAAAACGGAGTTTTCATTTTAATCAAGGTTCCAAGAACTGCGTCGTCGAAATTATGATTAGAAACGTTCGAAATTTGCTCAAAAATATAAAAAAAATAGATTTTCATTTACTTGTGACGATTTATTTTAAAAAAAACTTCATAATAAAGGGTGACAAAGTCTTATGGAACTTTGGACCCATAGCATCCAAATTTGGGATGTGTACGAAGTTAGTTAGTCTAACAAAGAAATAATCAGTAGTCATAACCCCCAAAACTCAGCGATTTCTAAGATATCGGTTTTCAAAGCTGCTGAAGTTCAAAAATTACACAGACCCACAAATTAAAAAAGTCATGCATAACGGACTAAACCATAGTATTTCCGTGTATTTTGGTCCGCTAAACCGAATCTGACCTCAGTTTGGCTTTACTCATCATGCACATTTCAAATATTTCAAAAAAGTATTTTTGCCATAGATAATACTCATGGAATGGTCAGAGTACTCTAAAGTTTAAGACGTTTAATATCATTTTATAGCGCCTTAATGGACACTATTTTCTTATCAGTAATCTTCATCAAAATATTCTTGCAAAACTGGACTAGCCATAAATATTTCGGCGGGTAGTCTTATTGTTTCTTGGTATTCCCCATGTCCTAAATACCAAATAACTGTCATGACGTGCGTACAGCATCCTGCCGTTCTTATATTAACAACAGTAGCCACGAATGGCTTCTGGACCTGCATTGTCTAAATCTATAATATACAGAAAATATCATTCCTCCTGCAGGATCAATTTACAGCAAAACGGAGGTCATATTTGTAATCAGCTACCAAAAAACGTAGGACTTTACACTTTTCTAAT